CTTTCAGCCTGTTTTCCCCCCCCCCCCCAAATATTTCTTCTTTCTTTGAGTAAATTTGGACATGTCTATGGACATTTTTTTTTTGTTCTTGGGCTTCATTATCTTGCTGCTTCTGATAGACATAAGTATCAGCTTGATCTTGGACACACTTGTCCAATATGTTGAGCTTTCGTCTCCTATCCTCCTTGAAAGCAATGCTTTGGTCAACAAATTATTCTAAGTACTTATCCCTTCTTTGTTGAGAATGCCCTTTTGGCAACCCCTTGTTTATCTCACCCTTTAGGCCTTGGACTAGGCACAGATGGCTGTGGACTAGGTATGGTAACATTGTTTGCGTCATTATCTAAAGTCACTATACTTGCACTAGCGCTTGACGAACGTTGTGTGGAAGGCTCCTTTATATCTTTCCACTTTGGGAAATTATTTTAAGATTGTCAAGCATGGTACATCAAAGGCATATTTAGAGGGTTATTATCTTTAAGAAATATCGTTTTTGCATACATATCCTACGTAGGAGTAAAAACAAAAGATAAGTTTGGAGTTGAATAAAATTACATATAGAAATTTAAAGCTTTAATAAGAATGGGTGCTTACCACAAAAGAGAACATTGTTGGTTGATAGTCTTGAGCTGAGAAACATGGCTTGGTATGTTTGTCGCTCGGGTCCATTGATACCCGGATCATTTTTCATGAACTTTTGATATACACGCTGCCAAAATGTGTTGCTTGCTTGATTGGTGCAAATAACCCCATCTTCACTTACGGAAACCAACCCTTTGCACACAGCCTCATCTTCCTATGGCCTCCAATTCACACCTCTTTGAGATTTTGTGGATATCTTCAACAAGAATGAAAGAAGATTGATGAAAATGACAAAGGAAAAATAAATTGAGAAATAGAAAAAGAAAAAAAAAGTTTTGGGTAGATTATTTGAGAAATGGGGGTATTTATAGAGTTTGAAGTGAGTTTTGGGGTTGGATCTCATTTAGATGAATTAAAATTATTATTTTAACCCTTGGATTTAAATTTCAGTTGTTAGATTTTTTTTTTTATACAGTTAAAATGGCTTGGATTTAATATAAACCGTTGATTTTGGTTACAGTTGGAATAATAAAAAAGAGTCGTTTGAATTGTGCTGTTGGATTCCAATGGCAAAATCACCATGTTGTGGCACCCCTCTGCAGCACAGTAGTCGCGGCTCCTAATTTTTTCCTCCTTGCACATGGGCTACTTCTAGCTTAGTGGGCTCCACACAAAAAATTTCCAATCCAGGCAATAGATGGACTGGTATTCCGCCCCACTTTTGGGTTTCCCAAATTTTAGCCTCTTTATTTTTCTTGGGTTAAGAAAGAAATTTGGCTAAAATTTAGGATTTTTTGAGTTTGGCCTGCTAGGTTAGAGATGGCCTTATAGGGATCAGATATCATTCCTATCCCGATTACAGATAGTTTTGTAAACAACATTAATGAAGATCTGGATTCTGAATCCTCCTTGTTGAGGCCCAAAAAATCCACGGTTCGACCCAAATAAATTTTCAGCCCAATGCGATACCTTATCAAGAAGAAACCTGATTTGGGCATACGAAAGTTCGTCATATACGCTTTGCACACATGCCAGGCCAAGCAAATAAGCAACATGTCACGCTACAAGCTTAAGTGGGCCCAAGCCACGTTAATGTCTGGGGCTTGCTGAGTGGGTTGTGGTATGGATGGTTACGAGTATTCACAAGGCCCATTGATGGTCCAAGGAGTGGAAGTTTTGGGCTACTTGGGAGCACCAAAACTCAAGCTCATTCCTTGAGTCCAAACATATGGGCAAGCATGAGAGAAAACTCAATAGCCCATCACCTTAAGAAAAGACCCAAACATCTTTAAAAAATGTCCAATAGTCATAACCCATAAAAAATCCCACATCAGCCAAAGCTTCCAGCAGTCTGACGAAATCAAAGGGAACTCACAAACCACTGGAAACAAAACAGCCCATCCCAGCATTTTATAAAATATCCAACGTCGTGCTCTGTTAAAACCAGTTCAAAGCCAAACCAGCAAAAGCAAGCAAACCCATGTGCTGATCACCTTTTTGACCAAGCACCCTTACCCATTCTTTCCTCTTCAAGCTTTGGTGAGAAAACAAGAAGCAAAAGTGGGTGACACCTCACCCACGTGAAGAGTCCAACTGCTTGAGGACCTTGGAACCCCAAAAAGCTGCGTGCCTATGGGTTCAGGCTAGAGAAATTTCACAAAACTAGATAAATGGAAGAAAGTGAAGGAAAATGGGAGAGGGTGGCTTGAAAAATTTGAGTCTTCTAGCCCCTATAAAAGGAGACACTTTATTCCCAGCAAAACAACTCACAATGGACAGAACAGACAAGAACAAATTGAAGGCAAGCATTCACTCTGGAATCCTTCAATTTCATGCTTTGTTCCTCCATTCCTCCATTCCTCTTCCTCTCTCTCTCAAAACCCACATCCAGAGAGAGCAAGCATTATCTCTCATCTCTGGAACCTTTCAATTTCAAGCCTTGTTCTTCCATTTCTTCCATTTTTCTCCTCTGTAAAGCCACCCAGAAGCTTGACGAAGCTTTCGTCAAGCTGCTGGAAATCTGCTAAAGACACCCATGCTTCCATCTTCTTCCTCTCTTTCCATAAAAACACATATGAAGAGCAAGCTTTATCTCTCACCTCTGAAATCTCTGCAATTTCGAAACCCAAGCCTTCTCCCTCTCTTTCATGCTAAACTTGCGAATACTCAGCTCCCATGCCACAAGCTCTCATGCCAAGCCCAAGAATTTATCTGTAAGCAACTATTGGTTTCGTTGGTGAAGAAGACCAATGTGTTTCCTAAGGCTCAGTTACCCTTTCGAAACACTCTTGGGGCCTGATCTTTGAACTCAGACTCAAGGGGAAATTTTACACATGTTTCTCTTTTCGGCAGCCCAAGCTCATTCGTCAAGCTGCTGGAATAAAAAGACCCCTACACTCCTCAATCAAACTCCTCATCAATTCAATTATTCCTCACGAATTAGTAAACGTGGCATTTATCTATCATATTACAACAAGTAGGTGTGGGTTTAACCCAAAATTTATTTTATAAATTTATAAATAAACCCAATCCTAGACATATATTTATAAAAAAACCCAAACACTATTTAAACATAGAAACACACCCAAAATCAACCTCAAAATCAACAATTGTATATTTTTTGGGTGTGTTTATAAATGAGTTTTGAGTGTGTGTAATGATGAATTTTGGGTGTGTATATAAAGTGTTTTGAGTGTTGAATTTTTTTATAATTTCAGCCCCCATTTTGGATGTTTTAGTGAAACTCCCAATTTATTTGAGCTACAAAAGATAAGGATGTCAGCCAGACTTTAGGACCATAAAACTACGTCCCAAAGCACAGCCCAAAGTTTGGTCGGTCGAAGCCCAAAGCATCTTTGCTATATAAAACATGCTTTCCAAATTCGAATGGGTCCGGAACTACAAAGCCAACTACGATAATTGCAACGTTGTCAACAACGAACTCGAGCTCTAGTTTGAATAAAAATTGTAGCTTTCTTCTGCTCTCAAGTCTCGAAGTCCCTCCCTCCAGGCTCGAGCCCTCTTCTCTTTTCATTTCCTGGGATCTTTTTATAAGATCTGCAACTTGGGTTTTGAAGTCCCAGAGCCTCTACGAAAAGCAAAGCTCTTAACTTTCAGCTTCAACATTCTTCACAAAATTCAGCCCCTGCACTTTACTTTCATTTCTAGGGCTCTTATTCGCCATTCTTGCGCATGGACTATGATATCTCCGACAGCAGCGGTGAGAAAAGTCTGAACCTTTACAATTATCTCGAATCTGGGTCACGTATCTCAAGGGATTTCGGTTAGTGGGTTAGGGTTTAATTTGGGTAATTGTGTGATGAGTTTTGTTCCAGGCCTGCAGAATATAGAGTGGGTTTTTTGAAAATTAGGGTTTTGGGTGTTCTTGGGTTTTATGCGAATTAGGGAGATTGAATATATAATTTTGTGATTTTGAAGTGTTAAATCTCTGGATTTTGTTTTTGGGAATTTGGGTTCATGCGAGTTACTTGGGCTTCACCTCTTAAAGTGATTCTTAGAGTACAAGTTTACCCCTGACCTTTGCTTTTTTCCCCAGTTATCGATCATTATGTATAGAGTGGAAGAAACCAAAGATGGCATATAGAATGATTCTTATTTCAATTAATTTCATGAAATTCACTGATTGGTAAAACAAGACATAAATTTGCATAAACTTTGATATGTGTACGTTCATAAGATGCATGGATATTAAGGATGCAAGTGTTATCTTGAAATCCCCATCTGTCTACTATATTTATGTGTATGAGATAGTTTGAAGAATTGTTGTGGCTTTTTTCATACAAGTAAACTTGCCAAAACTATGTACCAAAAGAGTTAACAAATTCTGCCTTATTTTTTTAATAGCACTTCTATCCATAGAAGGGGAATTTGTGAATTTCATATAATTTTGTTTTGCTCAAGTTGATACTTCATCACAGATCCAACCCAAATTCTTGTTTACGAACTGATTTTCGTTGCAAATTGATACATTTCTCAACAATATATATGATTTTAATTGTCAGATATATAGATAATAAATAAACATATATTTTTTACTTCTGTTCAGGATAAATATACTTCGCAATCAATAGCTTTAGAAGACCACTAGCTGCATATGATGCAAAGTTTCATCTAGATGCTCCATGCCATTAGTTGTGGTTATATAATAATACTTATCCTTTCTTCCAAGGTAAAGTTATGGTGACATATTTCTTGTGAGTATCATGTATACCCTTATATGGAATAACTGCAGGTACTGATGATGATCTTCCTCCATCTCATCAAAACAGAATTCCAAGAGGGGCTCACGTCACAGCAAAAGAAAGATCTGCAGTAGGTTCTATCTCATTTTCTAGGATGTATACAGACATGGAGGCCCAAATTCATCACTTAGAGCAAGAAGCATACTGTGCAGTCCTGCGTGCTTTTAAAGCTCAGTCTGATGCGATTACTTGGGTATTTGCCTTCTCTTTGTTTGCATGTCTCCGTGCTTGTTATCTTGATGTTGTTTGTGAATCAGCCTTTAATTTGTTGTCATGTGTGTTTATTTCAGGAGAAGGAAAGCTTGATTACCGAACTTAGGAAAGAGCTGAGAGTATCAGATGACGAACACAGAGAACTTCTGACCAAGGTTAATTCTGATGACATCATCAGTAAGATAAGGTTCGCCTCTTCATAGTTGAACAAATTGTAATACAATGATTACTGCAAAATTGGCAGGGAGTTTAGTATTTCTAGTTTTTAATTGTCACATGTTGGAGCATGTATCAGAGAGTGGAGAAAGGGTGGTGGGCATCAAGCGGCTAGGCTTAGTGCATCTCAGCCTGTCTATGATCTATTACCCAGTCCTACTGTTTCTGCGTCGCGAAAGAAACAGAAAACATCTCAATCGGTACCTTCTCTAGCATTCGGTCTCTCGATTGTGGCTTTAATCTTGTATTCCATATTTGCAGCCTTTGTATTCAAAAGTAATAAGGAGCTCTTTTGAGCCATAAGGAAAGTAAATTGCAAACCTAAACTAATTACTACAGTAGTGCGAAGAAAACTGGTTTTGACCTAAATTTTTTTCTCTTTTCTTAGCATGGTCAGCCATTCCCTGGTTTATCCTCAATGAAGTCCATGCCGTACCCATCGACAGGACCTACTTTGAGTAGACAATTAACTGCTCGTAGCTCTTCTGGTCCCCTTGTTGGAAATGAACCTGTTGAAGCAGCAACATTTGATTCATTAATCGGAAGGAAAGTATGGACCAGATGGCCTGAAGACAACAGCTTCTATGAGGCCGTTATCACTGAATACAACCGCACTGAGGTAGGTATTGAAGTTTGCATGAGGTGTTTTTGATTCAGTCCTCCTTTTTCTGCAACAACATTTGTAAGTTGAATTTTTGTCAAAATGCACATGTCCGAGTGAAAACAAGCATAAACGGAATTCAGCTGAGTTTATTGGTATTATTACTGGTGTCCATGAAGTTTGTTGAAAACTAACTTTGCTAAACGAAATGGAAAGAAAATAAGTTATCTTTGGTTAGGGTTGTCATTTAGCATCTACCAACTGCTCTTACTAGATGTTGCTAGGACAGAAGACTCTCTTAGATGATTAATCGACATAAGAGTGCACTTGCTTGAGTATGTACCTTGTAATACAACTCCGGAGAGTTGTTTCATATATTATAGGTTCAGTCGATTTTGAATACAAAATGAGAAGAATGAGCATTTCTCTGATGGCGTACTAATTAATAAACTTTGAACTGCCCGTTCTGGCATAACTATCTTTTAAACATTATTTTTAGTCATAGCTGTGTGATGCCATTTCTTTTTAGTAAAAATTGATGACTTTCAGTTTTAGTGCCAAATCTTGAGATTTTTTTTTTCTTCCCTTTTCCTTTGAAAATCATGCAAATTCCTTATTATAAGATATTTTGAATAATTGAACCAAAATGTTTTGGACTTTGAATTCAGCAATTATTGTCAATGGTAAAAGATGATGGTATGAATTTAATGTAAAAGATACAGTTGTATAGACTTAACATATTTTTCCTCTCATGGCTTAAAGTGCATCAAATATTACACCTCATCTGTCATTTTTGTAGAAGAGTCATGTAATATGGTGTTTGATTACGTACAAAATCTCTATCCTCTTATTTGTTGGATGATGTTTGTGTTCATTTTCCTTCTGGACTCTTTCTAGGTTTGAAGGATTCCATTGTTGTTGGAATTTTCATAAATCCAAGACAGATTTAAATTTGACGTGTTCTACCCAGTCTTAATATAGTTTAATTTGTGCTCAGATGAAATGTACTAGACAACTAAAGGATCCTTTGGCATAACAATAATTTTCCAGAAGAAATAATACACACATTAACTATAAGTTATTTGGTTTTTTGATTTCTTTAAGTGACATTTTCTTTCTGATGATCTCTTAAGTTTCCATGTTTTATCTGTAGTAATGTTTTTTTGTCAGTTTATCTGTGCCTGCATGCTTCTAAAATGGCACACCCTTCTCTTTCGATGGATTTGATCACTTTTTTTTTTATCAATAACTATTCAAAAGTAAATAGGAAAACCTAATATACTCCTGACGTGTTTAGGATAAACTTAGTTGACCAGAGTAAAATGCGATGACTATGAATGACTGTTTAGATTCTCTTACGTGCCAAATTCTTTAGCCATTCATATCAACTTTCGTTTTTTACAGGGTCGACATGCATTGGTCTATGATATAAATACAGCAAACGAGACATGGGAATGGGTTGATCTCAAGGAGGTTAGTCTATATTTTCTTCATAGGTAGTATGAATGCATGTATTCCACTCTAGCATTAACCTGCCAATGCTGTAGTTATTGTTAAGTGTGGAAGCAATCATTGACTAGAACTAGGATCCACAGGGAGAGAGCACAAGAGAAATAGAATTAGGCATTTGATTTCTTCTGCTAGCCCCATCTTTCAGTAATAAATAGATAAGCAGATGTCGTAGTCAAACATGAACACAAAATATGAAATATGTAGATAGTGTTGATCTTGGATGGAAACGGCATTATGAGAGCTTTAGAATTAAATTATATTTTTATCTTTAATCAAAGAGCTTGGAAATGTTGCTTTCATATATCAAATGTCTCCTATTTCATTCATATTTTTCAAAAGGGTTTATGATATGCATGTGCATTTATGTTTGTGGCAGCATTGCTGGCCTTGATCATATTGTCAAGTCATATCTGTCTTGTCTTTGGTAAAGTGACAAAATTGTATCCCAAGCAATCAAAGAGTGCTGGGACTTGACTGACTCATTACTGGTTACAGATCTCTCGTGAGGATATCCGTTGGGAAGGTGAGGACCCGGGCCTATCTCATCGAGGAGGCCATGGTGGTGGGCAAGGAGGACGCAGGGTTAAGAAATCTTTGAACCAAGGCGGTGTTACTCCAGGTGCTGGAAGAGGACGAGGACCCATAAAGCCCCAATCAAAAAAAGAAATTCATCCGTCACAAAATTGTATGATGAATATGATGAGCCTATGTAACTAGAATTATGTTTGTTATTTTCATTTGTCACTTTTAATTTTACTAGGTGGAGAGAGTTTTCAATGCAAATCATCCAGATCCTTTTGAGCTTGAAAAAGCAAGGAAAATGCTGAAAGTAAGATTAACATCCTTTACCCTTTCTCTCTCCTTTCTCCTGGTCTGACATTACAATTTGACGTTTATATGCAACAAATGCAGGATCACGAACAGGCCCTTGTTGATGCCATCGCAAGGCTTGCATATGCATCGGATGGCGAAAGTGGTAATAGATACATGTGTACATAATAATTCTGTGTTATGTTGCTGTCAAAATAAGTTAATTAACCAATTGTTGTACCTTCAGAATTTCTGTTGTGAAAGTTTATTTTATTAGCATATTGAAAATTCCTATTCTTTAGTGGTATCTTTTGATGCCTGTACTTCTGTTGGTGCATAATTCTTTCAATTGATTTTAATTGAAGTAACCGTCACACACTGCACTTTTCAACCAAAATGAATAGTTTTGCATAGTGTTTGGCAACGGACCTTCTGTAGTAATTGGCTAAGCAACTCTCTGGATATCCTCCAGACTCTAACTAAAATGGGTCCTTGAATGAAGATAGATGGTTATCTTCCTGGCTTATCCTCACAGGGAACTGAGACGCCATATAATGAATAGGACTGTTGAAAAGGATTACACAAAATAAAAATGTTGTTTGTTGGTCCCCTTTATTTATTTTTGACAACCTTCCACTTTTGACCTGTTTTTTATTTTTAAAATTCTGCTTATTCTTTCTTATTTTTTGCTTAAAAGCAGATGGAGAGCATACGTTTCTGCATGGTCGATCAATGGATGGATAACGACGGAAAAGCAGGCACTGTGGTTGAGGCAACGATGGTCTCTGGATAGTAGCTTCAAAGCTAGCAGTCAAATGAAAGGAAAGGTTGAGTTGGAAAGAAAGACGACCACAAAGGTGGTGATGATGTTAATGGCATAGCTTTTTTCACTTTATCAAATTCTTGGATTTTCATCTGGGTTCCTTTGAGAAATCTCAATTGCCTTTGATGATCCTTTGATGATCACATGCCTGACTTTAGACACATCCACTTGTAAAAACACCTCGATTTAGTGTTTTAGATTTGCCAAGAAGTTGTGTAGAAGAGATTGTTTCTTTCATCAATCATAGTTTCCGCCTGAGCGACTTGACTCAAATGTAAAGTCTGGTTGATTTTGTGTACTTGTCCTGCTTCTGCTTCTTCCTCCTAATATAAATAAAGCATTCAAGTTTAGCTTCCATCGACCATTTATCCTGCAAAGAAAACAAACAAAATCACATTCCTTGAAAGAAATTACTTAGTATTGGTGCCTATTGCAAAAGCTTTTTGATGCTGTCATATGGTGAATGAGTGACTTGCTCTCTAATAAACAGCAAGACTGCAGAGCCAGATGTCAGGGCACCCGCACAAACAATACTAAAGAATGAAGGAACCAAATTCAATTGTTCATCGTTTTTGAAAGCATAAGCTCTAATTATTCATTCTCTGAAAGGACTAAAAGTGCTTACTGATAACTTAAAAATGCTTCTGATAGTGTTTGACAAAAAAACTTATAAGTGATTACGAGTCACAAAAGCATTTGGATTTTTAATAAAATCTTTGACATTCTTCCAATAGGAATAGGAGCACTTCTAAAAAAAACTTACAAGTGATTATGTTAATGCTTCCTGTAGAAGCATTCCCAAACCAGGCCAAGGAGTTGAAAAAGGCAGCTATCAGAACACCAAATCAAATTTGCATTGAACAGCAAGTGGTGCACACACTGATGAGGAGAAAATAGATTAATTTTTCCTAAATCCAATGGCCTTGGATCTTCTGATTTGCACAACAACAAAAAACCAAGATATACACAATGATTGGTCTTCTTCTACATATTCCCAAAACAGATCATTCAGAAGAGAAGAGCACATAAACTTTCTGTGGATGGATCAAATCGATCACGGAATTCACTCTACAACAGAGGCAATCCTCCTAGTTTAAGTTCTTCTATGATCAGTGAAAATAAATGTCTTTCCTTCTTGTATACATGTCTTTCAAAAAAATTCATCTGAGATCTTGTTCTTTTTTGGACTGTGGGAAAGACCAAAGAATACTTACAACCAATGAATCCAATACCACAAGAACTACAATTACCTTAAAAGAATCAAGCAGCTCCAGTTAAACATCGAAGTTTGATCATAATTATGCAACAACAAAAAAAGGAGAGAGAAAAAAAAAGAATCAAAACGAAAACCCAATGATCTTCCATGGACATGGAGTATGCAAATGATTAATCTAAAGCATCAAATGCAATCATAAACACATTAATTTTGAGAATCTGTCGACACAGAATTGGACATATAAACGGACAGATCATCGGCCAACCTCAACTGAAGAAATAAATTGAATTATAAAAAAACACAGAACAATCCTAAATGCAGAGAAACAATAATCAACAAAATGGCAAGGAAAAATCACACCTGAAGAATGAAATATAAACTGAATCTGATTTTGCAGATGAATTCTGGGAGACCCTTTCGGTTTCAGACAGCAACTACATC